GGCCTCCCTGCTGCCCCTTCCCGGGCTCCCCATCACACCCAAGGACCCCACGGGCACCCCCCGCGCCCCTTTTCCCCTCCCCTGCAGCATGGTGGTGGTGCTGGAGCAGGGCCTGCTCCTTGTACCGGCCCCTCCTCCAATCTCCATCTCCATCTTTATTTTAGCAAACATGTCCTGACCGAAGACATCGTGCACCGGGAGGTGACGCCGGACCAGAAGCTGCTCTCMCGGCGGCTCCTGACCAAGACCAACAGGATGCCGCGCTGGGCCGAGCGCCTCTTCCCCGCCAACGTGGCCCACTCCGTCTACATCGTGGAGGACTCAATCGTGGACCCCAAGAACCGCACCATGACCACGTTCACCTGGAACATCAATCACGCGCGGCTCATGGTGGGTGCTCGCGGGGCAGCGCGGGTGGGCGCCCCGGGCKGCGCTCACGGCGCTGTGCCCCGGGCAGGCGGTGCAGGAGCGCTGCGTTTACCGCGTGAACCCCGAGAACAGCAACTGGACCGAAGTGAAGCGAGAAGCCTGGGTTTCCTCCAGCCTGTTTGGTGTCTCGCGCGCGGTCCAGGTGAGTGCTGCTGGCCGCCCAGTGTGCGTGGCAGGATGTTCCTCCCCTGCTCTCCCGCTASCCGTGTCATTTATCTCTTCATCCTCATTGCCCTCCCAGCCCTTGTGAGCTTGTGGAGCCCTGACCCATCAGTGCAGTGGCTCCTCTGCTGCAGCGAAGCACCCGAGGGCCACGAGCCATTTGGGGCAGATTGAGTCACAGCTCGGACAGCACATTCATAGGAATGAGGGTCTGGGCTTGCATCATCACAAATTCTTCTGTTGCAGGAATTTGGTCTGGCCAGGTTCAAAAGCAATGTGACCAAGAGCACTAAGGGATTTGAATACGTGCTAGCAAGAATGCAAGGTGAGTAAGTAAGGGTGAGCCCTGGCTGTCCAGGTCAGCTCTGTCAGGGTAACAGGCCACACCAGTTCACCCCAGTTGCGGGCAGGTTGTGGCTTGAGCTAAACTGACTGACCGGATGAGAAATGCCCATCCTCTGCCCCCCTGTCTTGGCACAACCCGCTCCTCCTGAGCAGAGTGGCCAGGGAGCATTTCCAGTCCCAGCCTCTTCAGGAGGCTCTTGTGGTCGCGGCAGTGTCGGAGCGTGGGACGGAGGGAGGAAGTAACAAGGCGGTCACGTGCCTGCAGTTCTGCCTTGTGACGTGCCCCAGTGCACGGAGCTGGGTGTCAGGATAGAGTTCACCTTCCCCCACGCATGGGGAAACATCCTCCGTCCCAAGAGGCAGCGGAGCTCAGGGCTGTGTCGCTTGCGTCAGCCGCTCGCTGCGGCAGCCCCGCCAGGGCGGGGACTGCTCGGTTAAATTAACAACTTACATATTACAGGAGAAGCTCCATCCAAAACACTGGTGGAGACAGCCAAGGAAGCGACCGAGAAAGCCAAGGAGACAGCTCTGGCTGCTACGGAAAAAGCCAAGGACTTGGCCAGCAAGGCAGCGACCAAGAAGAAGCAGTATGTGTGAGCAGCTTGGCACGGGCAAGAATCAAGCCTGCACCCCAAAAGATAGGAGCCTCTTAGATTTTATATTTTTAAACTGTACAAGTCTGACAATCAGCTGCTGTTAGATCCTTTCTAAGATGTAATTATCATTAAAGAATCTACTTCCACCTCTAACCTTGCCTAGGGCTGGCTCATGTGGAACAGAGCCCTGCGACAACCTCTGCTTTGGGGGCTGCTGGCAGCGAGTCCAGCAGAGCTGCCGCGCAGAGAGCGCCGGGCACGCGGGCAAGATGCAGACGCAGGATTAGCCAAGTGCATTTACTAGAATAGTTTCGGGTATATACAAGGGTGCAGGGGCAAGGCGGTTGGGGCTGAGTGCATTTACTAGAATAGTTTGGGGTATATACAAGGTTGCGGGGGCAGTTCGGGGAGCACGGGCCGAGCTGCTTGGCGCGCTCTTTCCCCGGGCTCTCGAGGGGCTGCAGGGCCGGCCAGCACCCCCGGTAGATGGGCTGGGCTCCAGCCCGCCCATGTGCAGGGAGCCCAGGGGTCCCAGGCCTGTTCCCCAGCCGTGTTGAAGTGCGTTGCTGTGTGCAGAGGGATCCCAGCCCCGCACGTCCAGCCCTGCGGCTGGCTGGGCTCCGAGCTCCAGCTGCGGGAGGCAGAGCCGGCTGCCGTCCCCATCCTGGAGCCCTTCTCCGGGCAGCCGCGACGGGGCCGCGTTTCCAGCAGAGGCTGCGCGGGCCGGCGGAGCGGGCGAGGGCGGCTCCGGAGCTGCCGCCGCCGCGGGGCCGCGCTAGTGCCAGGCGCTGTCAGGACCAGGGCCCGCGGGGGCTGGAGTAGCTGTGGTCCCTGCCCGTGCTGAGCCTGGCCAGCAGCTCCGCGCCGAACACGGCTCCGTCCACGTCGATTTCGACCTCCTCTGAGCACAGCGAGGGGCCAGGTCAGGGCCTGGAGGCCGACCCTCGCTCCCTGCCAGCCAGGTACCCTCTCCCCTCACCAACCTCCGTCGGAGCCAGAGTGCTCCGAGAGCTGGGACGAGTCCAGGCTGTCGGCCCTCGTCCGCTCGCTGCCGGCGGGCGAGAGCAGCTGCTCCAGCCTCTGCTGCAGGCTCTGCTGCTGGCAGCGCAGCTGGTCCTTCACCCGCCGCGCTCTCAGCTCCTGCTCCTGCAGCCTCTGCGGGGAAGCAGGGGGCTGTGAGCAGGGCTGTGGCGGACAGCAGCCCAGGGCCGCCCCGTCCAGCGGGCCAGGCTCACCTGGATGTGCAGGCGTGCACGGTGCAGGAGACTCAGCGTGGTGGAGCGGGCACGCTCGGCGCCCCCCGGCACTTGCTGCTTCAGCTGCTCCAGGCAGTGCCGCAGCTGAGCCCTCCTGCGGCGGGGAGAGGGCTGCGGTCACGTCGGGGGGCACAGCCCACCGTGCCCTCCCTGCCTCCCGCCCTGCCGCCCGGTACCTGTGCTTCTCCAGCGCATTGTGCACCGACCTGCAAGAGAGYGCCCACGGTAAGTCCGGGCACGGCCGATCGCCCCCCGCCGCTGCCGCGGCCCTGCCGCTCACCTGCAGCTGCCCACGGCCTTGCGGGGCCGCGGCGGGCGCCGCGCGGGGCACAGCGACGCGTAGCCGTGCTCGGCCTCGGCCAGGCACGACGGGGCGCGGGCGACAGCGGCCGCGCGGCGCTCGCGGCGCTCCAGGAACTCGGCGGCCTGCAGGAGCACCTGGATGCTGCTGAGCGCCGGCTCCATGGCGGGCGGCGGCGGCGGGCGCCCCGTC